TTATAACTATCCCAAGTTATTACTTTTGTTCTACGCTTAGCCAAAACGATTCAGCAAGCAGATTCAGATGCCCTAAAAGTGTGTTTCTGGAGAATAACAAGTCAGTAGGACAGCAATTTTCGCACAACTCTGGCCTGGATCTGGCTTCCTGCAGCTCTGTCTTGCTGCAGACTTAACTTGAATTATCTGCACGTATGCCACCCTCTCCAGCTGAGCTGCCACCCTGCGAAATGGCAGCGTGCAAGTGTCAGGATTAGTGAATGGTATGATTTTGTTAGCAGTGCAAATGGACTGCAGTGATAACAATATGGCCAAGCAAAGATTTTGGATGAAGTGTTTATTTGTCAAACAATGCAGTTCCAGACTCATTAGACAGATTCACAACCTTCACTTGAATTTAGAAAATAATCTGATAAATATTTGATATGTATTAAACAGCTAAATATTTCAGAGACATCCAAGTGGTCTCTTTCACCACTTTTAATTTCTTTTTAAATAAAATATTTCTCATCTTTCATTTTTGACAGACTTTTCAGGAATGAAGCTTAGCTCTTGCCAAAGGTCTCATAAGTTCATTTTCCGTCACTATTGATGGCATTGCCACTTGGACCAGTGGTGCCCATGTGCGACCTGAACAAGTCTCACAGCCAGAGATGGTTTTCTAGTGCTGGCTGACAGGATGCAAGCACCTCCTGCCCAGTGGGTGGCATCCCTGGTGTTGCGGCCTTGCCTGTGGTGATAAGGGATTGTTTATCCTCTCCCTTCTCAAGGGGAATAATTGAGTGGCCCCAGCACCTCTGGAAGCAGAAGAAAAAATAGATGCATCTGGCAGAGCTCCTCAGTAAGCCACTCAGAAGCTAGTGAAGCAGAAGACAAATACTCTCATTTTCCTTCTGGCTCTTCCCAGGCTAGCCCACCCTTGAGGCCTGCAGCAGCTGCTGCAAATGCTCCTTTCTCCTTCCCCATCCACCCGCAGCCTCTCCTGCCCAGAAACCAAACACGTTCCCAGGGCCCTACCGAGGAAGGAGACAACTGTGTTGAAGCGAAGCCTGGAAATATTTCCGTGGCAGGGAGAGCTGGCTGAGCCGCTTGCCTCTGGGGAGGAGAAAAAGGGAGAGGGAAGTCCGAAGGATGGCTGATCTGCTGCTGCTGGTCCCTGGCAGCCTCCCCAGGCCGAAGTACCCCCCGCAGCAGAGCTGTGGAGGACAAGCTGTAAATTCCTCCACGATGTCTTTTGTAAGTCACACTCCAGTGAATCACCATGGCACTACTCTTCTGTATTACATATTCAGCATCTACTCCAAAACAATGTTAAAAATAACCAATTTACTTCAGGCAGGCAGATGGCTACTAAATCCTTCTCCGTTTTTCTGTATCTCGTAAAACTGAGGCTTCTCCCTTCAGTATATATACGCTGCGATATAAAGACATTAGAAATACTTGAAATTACAGTGGTTAGAAAGCTGCTAGAATTCAATATAGCCTCAGAAATAAAGTTAACATTTGGCACTGAAACTATGTCAGGGCTGTTACTCAGATGTCAATGGCACAGCATTGCCCAGAAATTGAACAGCAAAGCCAGACTAAAACTTCTCTGGGGGCCCTTCTGCAGAGTAGGAACTGAGGAGGATAAACCTTCAGGAGACACAGCTGTCTGGATGCTGCATCCCATCTTCCCATATTCAAATCCTCCCTAATAAAACTGCATGGATGGAGGCTTCAAAACGGCAGTAATGCATGTTTTCCCCCGCAGCATTGATCAGGAAAGACAGAAATATGCAACCTGGAGCCGCAGGGAAGGAGACCTCATGGCAGCATGCAGGCAGGAGGGAGCCCATCATAGAGCTGCCCATGGGCAACAGCCTCTGGGGCTGACTGTCCCTCAGCCACACTTATCTTTTCACTCAGCTGGGACGCTCATAAAGGAGGTTTGGAAGGAGAACAGTACATATGCAGCAGCCTCTGTCTGTCCAGGGACAGGACCCTAGGAGCAAACGGGAGAGATTAGCTATTAAACAGAGCAGGTCCCCCCATTTGCTCGACAGAGCTAATAAATGGTTTTCCTCTCATGGAAAATAAATAAATAAATAGAAATCTTACCCACTATGACAGTGTCTTCAATAAGAGCTTTTCAGCTACCTTCAGGCATTCGCCTGCATCATGAAATCCCTGAGAACCACCTAGCTTGGGCTGGATAGTTGCTTTCTGAGCTTTTCAACCGTTGCTAAGAAAAGAAGCAGGTAAATGCCTGGTCTTCAGCAGGATCCTGAATTAACAACTGGCAGCCTGGCACCTGGCTGGCTGCTCTGGACAGCAGGTGGCCACTTGTCCAAATGGCTCCGTGCCCAGGCTCTTGCAGAGGTTTTTCACCATCCAGGTAGAAGCACAGAGATACTTGAAATCAATAAGAAACTCTGCTTGTAGAGATGATTGCATGGTACTGCCCTCCATCTTTGCTTCAGTGTTAGCCTTGAGTCCTCTGCAGAATGAGAAACTAATGGGGAGCTCAGATGTATCATCCTAAGTGACAATTAATTGACCTCAGAGCTGAAGCAGCTCCAAAGGCATCGTGGCTGGCTGCTTTTTGTTTTCTTGTGTCATTGGAAAAAGGTCAGTAGGCTCCTTCAAGAGCCATACAAAGAACTGCTGTAGCAGATTGCCAGCTTGAGAGAGGATTAAATTATGATTCCTCAGACTCCAGTTTTATCTTATGGTAGGTGATTTGTGTGCAGGGCAAAATAGAAGGGAACAGACATCTCAACATTTCTCAAAAGCTTTTCATTTTCCGGTGACCTACAACAGACATCATAAACTATTTGTACTACGAGAGTAGCAGGTACAAAGATAGTGTCTCACCCTCGCTAGATAGCTTTGCTAGGCCCTGTTGATGTATTAATGCCACTGAAAAAAGCTGTAAATCAGAAATGTGGGTCTCACAGGGTAACTGAACACTGTTAAAGAGCTGCTGAGTTTGGAAATTAGAAGTCCTACACTAAAACAATATTAAAAACTTCACTCCTCCTATGGAGCTAAAAAGGCAAGGATGTGCCCTTCCCTGGTGTCCAAATCTTCAAACTCACTTCCAGAGTGCCAGAAGAATACAAACCATTTGTTTTGCTTCACAGCATTAAAACCCTCAAGCACCCAAATATCAAAGACCCAGATTTCCTTTCCCTGTCAACAATTACTACAATGAAATTATATTGTTTAAAAACAACTAAATATCTGCATCACACTGAAACTTGGCTGTGTTGGCTGCGTTGGGCTGGGTGACAAAGTCCTTGCCATAGCACACCTTCATACAAAAAGCAGAAGTAATCACCAGCATCCTGATGTACTAAACTAAATTAAATGAGCATGAGTAGTGCTACAGGCAGCACTCCAAAATTCCTGTAGAAATCATGAGGATGCAAGATGTAGGCTAACTTCAAGAGGAATAACACAGCACCTCAACAAAGGAAAGAGACTTCTTGCTCTGGCAAACAATATTCATCTAAAGTAATGAGTGATAATTCATGAATAGTCTTTTAAGTTACTAAAGTATACAATGAGGCTAAATTTTCAGCAAGAAGAGTTTGTGTAGAGTTTAGCAAATAGTTTGGGTCTTCATGCTTTTGTTTTTTATCAAAACAAAACTCTTTAATAAAAATAATAACTTTGTTGTCCTGACTTTGCATACAGGTTCTTAAAACAAAGCTGTGGATAAACCTGCAAATATTACCAAGGGTCTTCTTTCTGTAGTGATTTGAAAGAAGTGCGATCTTCCATTATTTACTTTTACAAAGTATTTGTAAGGAACATACAGTGACAGAAATGCAATTACACGTTTGCTACATGCATATATGTATTGGAACCATACCTATGGTCTTATGGGTTTTCCTTGGCATTTCAGCAGCCTAGAAACTTAAGCTTGCAACCCCCTCTGCCACCTGGGATGACGGTGTGCTGGGATGATGTGGAGCACAGGTTATGCCACCATGCAGGATCAGTCACCCCTCTGTCACCCTGACTTCAGCATCCCTGGCAGCATCGCCAGCTATTTGAGACAGCTGCTGGAGGGAAGGCCATCAGCTCTAGGCGTCTTTAATACCACTGGTTACTTTCTCTGGACATTTTTCTATCTGTTTTCCTGACCTCTAAGACACATTTTTTTGCTCATTTATAGCTATGGTGAGAACTTCGAGGATCCTGCTGCCCATCCACAGTCTTCCCTGAATCTCTCCTTTTACGTATTAGCAGCTTTAAGGTTTAACACTGTTAAACATGTATCTCTTTCCCTCCACAGGCAGCACATCTGTAAATGTTAGGCTGAAAGCCATGCTCGGTCTGAAGTGTTCCAGGAAACACATGTGTGAACAACAAAACAGTAATTTCAATTAACGGGGAATGCTATGTGCTTAAGTACAGAAGAAATGGGACGTGTAATGTTAGTCTCTGAACTCTGTACATGTTTTTGTGTGTCAGTGAGCATAAAACCCATCTTTCATCATTCACATATTTCACAACACGCTGGTCTAGGCTGGTGAAAGTGTAACGTTTCTGGCTATGCAGTCAAGACAAATGAGATTTTTGAATTGCACTTACCAAAATAAAAATCCTAAGTAACTTCCATAAAGGTTGAGCATAGCTTTATTGGACTATTATTCTGTTAAGGTGGAAATCATTAAACATTTTGCCTTTATGCAGACTTCTTAGAAAATGTATTAGAAGCTTTTTAAATGTGAACATAAAGGGGCTGTTCCAGAAAACAGCAACTTAAAATAATTATGAAAGGGCTCCTACATTTCTTATAGGGAGGCACATATGATTTTTATACTTTCACCTATTTCTGAGAGAGGGCAGGCCATTTTTGGACCCTTTGGGTAGCATGACAAATCACAAGGAAATTCCTAATATTTAAAGAGAGTGGGTGTTACATACAGAGCATCTGTCAAACAGAATAGCAGGGCTGGAAACTGAAGAATAAACATTGGTATGACAGAAAGAAAACAAAATTGATTGACTGAATGTGGTCTCTTATTAGGACTCAGCTATTTATGCGTATCATATATGTGAGATTCACGTGTGTGTAAGAAACATGGTGACAATGGAACAGATTGCCCAGGGAGGTTGTTGAGTCTCCTTCCCTCCTTTGAGATACTTGAAAGCCTCCTGGAGATGGTCCTGGGCAAGTGGCTCTGGGTGGCCCAGCTTTAGCAGGGGTTGGACCAGGTGGCCTCCAGAGGTGCCTTCCAACCTCCAGTTAAGGAAGAGGGATGAGACCCTATGCAGCCACACATTTATGTCATCTTGCTCCTTTTTATTCCTCCAGGCTTACTTGGGCTGGGAAGCAACCCTGACCTCAGAGGGAGCACATAGAGGGACCTCTCCAGGTGATGGGCAGGGGAGAGCTCCCTCACATGCCAAGCACAGCCTGCTCCAGGTCAGCCACATTGCTACCTCTGGCACAAATGAAATTTACAGAAAGTGATGCAATTTTCTATACTTGGGGGCAATAAACACAACATAAAACATGCCGCATAAGAGTCAGTCCTTAAGATGGATAGTTTCATTAATATATCAAAGGTGAAAGTTATTTCAGAAATGCAAAACCTCATTATAAAATAATGATGAAACAATATTTACTACATCCAACTAAACAAAAAATAGGCAATTTATTGGATGGTATAGAAGACCCTGCTTTATTTGGGCTTATTAATAAATCATGGTAATTTGGTTCTGTTGTTTTGCTATTAAAAAGTTAGCCTCGATATTGTATTTGTTTCTATTAAAACAATGATTTATGGAGTACTCCTTACATTAAAACTGTTACAGAAACATCAATTTATCAGTAAGCCTTAATGTACAAATAAACTGGAGACAACATGTTCAGTTCAAATAAGATTTAGCCTATTACTGGGTTTTAGACTAAGGACACAGAAAATTGAACCTTTGTATATTAAACAATATTGTAAGCAAATGTAGTTTACTGCTTTGTTTGTTAGCTATATTTTAATAGGCAACCATGTCCCTTTGCATTGTAAATCCTAATGTTGTGCTTAATTTGAAGCAGAAATACAGCACTAGAATATGAGAGGGCTATTTTTGTATCCTTTTATTTCAGTTGCAGACTGTACATTTTACTAACTCAAAGAAGGAGGGTGACCTTATAAAAAGTTCATAGAAAAATAATAAGCATGCGCTGGTAATTGTTCCAGCCAAACTTCCAAACTTTCTGGGACCAGCCTGAATTAAGGGAATTGCATTTTTCATGGGGGTAACAGCAGTTCTGGCACCGAGGGACAGTTTCCAGCAAACACTGGGTGCAGAGAGGAGCTGCTCTGTGCCTTCCTCTGCACAGCGATGGCCACGATAACGGGAAATGGCCAACAACCATTTGGAGAGGGTTTCTATCCATCTTACAAACAATGTTTTGCCAGCTTTTGAAAGCTAGGCCCCACCTCAGGAAAAGGAAATCAGCTGCACCCCACAATGAGTCAACAAAAGCACGTCCCAAACTGTGTTCTCATTTGAAGAGCCCATTCCCTGTGTCCCTGCACACACTGGGGTGGACAACTTGGTTCACACCTCACGGTTTATCAGCACAGCCTCACAGCAAACTTTGCCACCGCATTTCTTTCAGGTTTTTAATCTATTCCTGCTAACACGAGAGCTGTTTGCTTCTGCTTTGGTGTTTGTTTATTTCTGTTAATTAAAATCTACAGCTGTCAATGAGGCTTGAGAGGCTTTCTCATTCCTACTTCTTTGTTCGAGCACCAAAACTATTTTAAATCATTAATTTAAGGTCAGGTTTACAAAAATCTCATTATAATAGGCAGGACTGATTGTGCATCACAGCTGCTATATGGCATTAATTGTAAAAATTAGGTGGTGGGCTTTGGCCACCTAGAAACAACACAGCATGTCCCCTACCTTGGTGGTCAACGGATATTGGGGTACCCAGCTGGGTTTTGCCAACACAGAAATAAATAACACCTGGCACTACTGTCCCAGTTTGATGTTCTCCAGGCTCCCATCATCCATGTAAATGGAGCAGGCTGGTGCCATGCGATGTGGTGGGATTGAGAGGTGACCACCAGCCAGCTGGGTTTTGGGGGAAGCGTTCCCTTCCGTGTGACCTGAGTGCAGCACCACTGTTTGAAATAAATTTGTAGGTGTTAATGAAATCAACAAAGGGTCTCAGACTTTAAATAAAGCAGTGCTGCTTTATTTTTAATGAATGTTCAAATTAATTTATGGGCAAGATGAGTTCAAAATGCTCATACGGCAAACACCAGGAACTTATTGCAGGTTTCCATGAACTGAGCCGAAACATGAGCTGGCATTTCTGGGATATATATATATATATATTTTGTGTGATTATACCAGAAAGAAAGCAGGAATGAAAGGCGTTCCAGCCCCAGGGAAAGAGTCCTGCAAAGCGCTCATACAGAAAATCGGTGCAAGTCACATTGCTACCGTATCAGCCTGGCAGAAAGGCTAACAGATGGTCAGCTAGTTTCAGTACGCAGGAATAGGAATTTCCTCTCAAATACTTTGTGAGCTGTCAGGTGGCATTCAGCCTTTCAGGCGCTGCCAGAAACCAACCAGCTCAGCAGCACACCTCGCACTTTGTCTGCAGTCAACAAGCTCGGTCATTTGGGAGCGAGACGCGGCCGTGCAGCTCCTTTGGCTTCTTGTGGCTAGGAGAGCAGCAAGACACTACGTTAACTGCAGTAAGTACCTGAATATGTTTCATGCAACTTTTATCAGCCTTTAAAATGTGCCTATCCTCCTGTTTTCTAAAGATGTTTAAGGGCAAACTGCAGTTCCTATGGACTTCTTAGCTTGTCGTTGCTCATACTATTTCTTAAGACGCTACAGATGTATTTGTGGCAAACTAATGTACCAGTTTGGCTTGAGAGCTTCTTACAAGCCTGATACATAACAACTACTGAAAAACTGTGCCATAAATACATAGATACAGCATCCGGATAGATAGAAAGCTCTGGTTCTGCCTGAAAACACTGTATATTATTACGTAGGCTAATATATGATGAGCATCCTAATAACAATGACACAGGCTATTTGGTCATATAAAGGAAGTGTGAGTATTTAGTAAAGCCTGCTACATCTGCAAATACCAATTAAGTCCAGGCCTTTGACAGTCAGTAGTTCTCAGCAAACTTTAGGGAGGTGAGGCAGTCAGAGCAGCACGATGTGAAGGACACCTCCCTTGACCACCTCAGCTGACAAGTGTTTAATCAATTACAGCCATTAATTATTAGCAATAATTCTTACAATTAATTACAGACACACAATGTCTATTTCCTCAAAATTATTAATTATTAAACAGTATTACTAACACAAACGTTTGCAAAACTTCACGTACCCTCTCTGATGGAGTTTCAAGCAATTTACTGTTTTACCGCTCGTTTTTAACCAGTTTAAATAGGGCACTGGAAAAATGAACCCATTTCAGATGAAGAGTCTGCAAAGAAAATTGAGACATCTGCTGCGGCCCTGGGGCTAGGCACTTGCATCCTGCCTGAGACATGCTTCACAGCTGAAGTAGGTCCATTTCCAAACGAATGCTCCCTCAAGCCAGGCATAATGCTGATCACCGTAACAGACTACCGGGAGATGTGATGGCTAAGCAAAATCTGGGCATCACTGCTACCAAAATTATTTTTTGAACTAAAATAGAAAAAAAAGGACTGTGAGCAACTTGGTAGCTCTGCAGGTAGCACACTTTATGAAAAGGGCAGACAGAAAGACTTAGCCAGAGAAGAGACTTTTATGGTAATTTTACATATTAATACTCAGGTGTAAAACAAATGTTTCACAGAGAGCAAGGAAGATTCTGATGATAGTTTTTGCATGCTCAACCATAAATTTAAACCCATAGCTATATATTGGGGATTCTGCACACTCGATCACCTGCAGTCAGCAATTCTGTCATGCATGGCACATGTCGCATTTAACTCACAGGTCAGGATCAACAGGTGACTCTGCAGACCTAGTGCCTCTGATGTGACTGGAGCATGTCAGCCTGGCAGCCAGTGCTTAGGAGCTATTTGTTCCAGGATTTTGGACTTCCAGCAGTCCAGTCTGAGCTACTACTCACCCTGCCTGCTGGGCATACAGAAATGTGACAAATAACCAAAAAAAAAAAAAAAAAAAAAAAAAACACAGCAATAATTAACGGGTAATGCAATAGTCCACCAAGAGTAAAAGTAGAGCTGACATACAGGTGCCTGTTTTGCCTACGTCTTTGCATTAGACATGTACAAAAACAGTGAAATGAAACAAAAACAGTTAAATGAAAGATGTCAAAAAGCAAGAAAAAGGTGGCTGGTCAAACTCTATTAGCGTGAGTGAAAATTAAATGCCTAGATGTTTTGTGTGCCTTTGAAAATCTCTGACCTAAACTGAGAAAGAAACATTCTTTGCATAACACACAGAATGCCAAACACAGATTTTGGATTCATCCATGAAAATAAAACAGATTATGTTACTATCAGAGAGAGAATGGTGAAGCATCAACCCTCCCATAAACCCAGATGCATACATACATACATAAATAAATTCCTGACCTGCCAAATTTCCTTAGCTGATGTAAACTGTTTTTAAAGATATTTCTATTACTTGAGTAAACATTACTTCCTATTTTTCGTCTACTGAGTGTAAGGATTTAAAGAAGACAAATCAAGTTTATTTTAGATTCCCTAAGGAAAAACAAACCCATCTGTCCTCACTCCTTCCCTGCTGTTTTACAATGTTCACTATTAGTTATTTCCAAAGCACACCTACATTTATCCCTATCTACAGGAGGAACATTTATCTCACAAATATTCCTGTCAAATGTCTCTAAAATGCCAGCAGATAACAAAAATAGAAAAGAAAAAAAGAAAAAAAAAAAGAAAGAAAGAAATTTGATCCCCTTACAAATGAAATACACAGCACAACAAAAAAATAAAGATGAGACCTAACCTGAGAGCCCAAAGCTGGTCCCTTTACACCTTTCAGGTACGATGACATGCCTACAGAGAAATGGAAAAACATGTAGTGGACAACAGAGAAGTGCTGTGGCCTCTACCAATGTCAGGCTTGTTATCGTAGCAGTGCTTCTTTCGTAGTTCTGTGGTTGAAGGCATCACAACTGTTTGATCTTCTCCCCTTCACAGGTGTCACACGAAAAAGCTGGAGACTTGTACTACGTGTAAAAGGGAGGCAGTCCCAGTGTGGGAAGTGCTGCACACAAGATGTTCTTTAGGTAAATTCCACGGTTTTGCAGGAAGAGGCTTTTGAAATACAAGGAACTGCTATTTATTCTGGAGAGAATTTACTCAAAATAAGGCTTCTGAATAAGGTTTCTGAATCATTTTTGATTTTAATCTATGAAACAGATCAAATAATGAAAAGATAAACATACTGTCTTGCTCTTTACCCCAACAGGACGTATCAATAAGCAAGGGACCACACTTAGCTTCATTACATAGATAGCCATTTCAACAACATTTCAACTTCATTAAAACGAACCTGACCATTCAGACAGCATAGGGGTGGCTCTCAAAGGATGGTGCTTATGGACTAACAGCCAGGAGCCAAATTTCCTTTGGAAATTTCCTTTGGAATTGTTTTTACATGCATCCTCTCCCAGATTTGTGGTAAATCACAGCATAGAAAACTGACAGGGAGATATAATATAAGCATAATCAATGTGGTAGAGAGCATCATCTACATGTGGACAGAAATTTAAGCGGCCACCACAGGATCACAACCTGAAATCAGCACCAAAAGCCCTGTGTTCTTTTAGGCAAGAAAGAACTCCATTACATTTGAAGTCTATTTCTGAAGTGTATTATTGTTAAAACACAAGGACTTGCACCAGCAGCACTGAGAGAAAACCAGTGAGCCTCAAAATACAATGGTAGAGGATGCTTCTCTGGAAAGTTTCATGGCTGTGTCCTACCTACAGAACAGTCGGAGTAGGTGCAGAAGTGTTTCTAAGCCCCTTGCCACATAAGCAGGACTCAATCCAACATTTACAAATCATCCTGTACCGTGAACTCCCATTGATAAAACACTAATGCACTCTCTTAACAGTGGCCATACGTATTTCCGCTCTGGACAGGAATGGCTTAAAACACGATTTCTGTCATGCTTTTGCCTTACATGGTGAGACTTCAGTCCTACCCCTTATTTTGGTAGTGCTGCTGCTCATGCTGCACCCAGATGTAGAGGTGCCAGCACGGCACACTGCCGTACCCATCAGAAAGTGTGGAGAGCAGCAACGGGGTTGGCAATTGCATTTCTCCAAAGCTGTGAGCTGCCTGCCTTCCCTTGGAGGCACACGAGCCTCCCAGGCACATCTCTTTTAACTCGTGTTTCCACATCAGCAGTTCTGGTGAGTATCTCGAGACGGTTTTGTTTAATACGGCGCGAAGCTGTGCCATTTCATTAGTCTCAGTGACAACATCTAAACCCAGCGGTGCTACAGGTTCACGTTGCTCTGCCTTGACAATACGAACACAATTTAGCTTTTGTTCAGGATAATCACAACTCCCATCTGTCTTTGCCAGACTAGGGCCCTCCTGGGGAGCATCCTGAGCTGTTGTCTGCTAAAACTTGGTCTGGCATGTGCTGTTTCAAGGTGGGTGAGAGACGAGGAGGCAGCTGGGCTGGGCAGGAGAGCAGCACTGCTACGTCCATGCCACCTGAGATGCTCCCACCAGTGCCCTCACGGCCACTCATGCCCAGTGGTGTAGACACAACCACTGACTTCACACTATTCCCCATGCCTTGTTGATAAATAAACCATCTTCTCAAGGCAGCTTCAGTGTGAAATAGGTGGGAGTTTGTAGATAGAAACTTCTTCCAGACAGGTGTGAATACTTTGGCCAGGGGAGAGGAACACTGGGCACATGAGCCAAGGGCAGCAAACAGTAGAAACACATCTCATAGTAAGGGAGATAAGAAATACAGACTGTGTACCAAAAACTGAGGCTTTTTCAATGGGACAAAGTAGACCAAACTATTTATAAGAACTACTGCCATTAAAAGCACAGACTTCTAACAGCCAGCCTATGGGAGCAGGTTGCAGATAAGGTGTATTTAGACTGTGCTCTTCCTTTTTTTTTTTTTTTTTTAATCTTTCTAAGAAAAAGCATTTCAATGAACCTTGAATGTATCAAAAATTTAATGATAAGTACTCCTATTATATTGCCAACTCTTTGGAAACCATAAATAAGTTTAACTAAGGTTGATCATACATTTGCTTTCTGTTTGGCTTTATTCTCAAATCACAGTAGTCTTTGTAATACCGACTGCGAACACAAAGATATATAAATTGTTTACATAATTCTTCCTTTTATTTGCTTTGATTTATTTAAAAACAAAAACATGCGACATCCTTAACTTTCACACCATAAGCAAACACAGACAAACAGCTTGCCTCCAACTTGAATTAAGTCCTATTTAAAGCACACCACAAGGCTAATTTCTTGTACTGGCAGCACAGTGATACTGATAACCACATTACGCTACTGAGCCCAACTGTGGGTTCCAGAGAAAACAAAACAGTTGAGGGAAAAATGCAAACCGCTTTTGAATAGAAGCATTTACATTGCTTCATTACTCGGGCACCTTTAATGAGCATCATTGTACGTGCTTTTGTAGATGTACATGGTGTTGGCATTAACATTATCTTCTCTGGTTTTTTGCCCCAGCAAAAGTTTTATTTTACCCTTGAAAAGAGGAATGCTAAGATACTTCACCTTGCACTAAAAACCACTTCTACATTAAATGCACAAAAATTGTATCAGATTTCATTTTCTTTACTTCATTTTTCCATACTTCTTGCAGGCTGCAAGACCATAGGACAATTCCATCTAACCCTCAAATGACTTTCCACAGTCATGTAACATTACCAGGATTTTTCCCATCTGGCTCTCTGAGTAAACCTCTACAATTTAACCCAGTCTGCAGTGCACAAAACCCAGCAATGCAAGTTTCCAGGACCAGAATAACATCTTGTCCGTGTTTGCTCCTGCTGACATGGCAGCCCCTCAGCCACTCCACTCTCAATATGCAACTGCTGATAGGGTTTGAGTGTACCTTTCATTAAGCAAAGCATTCAATTATCTTACTCTTTCAAGTTTCAAAAATGCAGTTTGAAATGGAGGATACTTCAACGTACACCAAATTAAACCTTTGCAAAGCTTTGCAGGTCCACAACAGCAGCAGACCAGATGGTAAAAAAAAAAAAAAAATGCAACCTGTCACCAGGAGAGTGCTCCTTTCACATATGGTACTAAGGTAGCTGCAAATCTCCACTGACAACAGGAAAAAAAATTTCCTACACCTTTGACTTGGAATTAAAACCATGGCTTCATTAACCCTAATCAGTAAAAAGACTGGTCAGACACATCTCTTTGCCAATACACCTCCATTTTTAAAACATCTACTGAAACCAATGACATTTGCTACATACTTTTTTGTTGTTACAGCTATAAAAATGTACATAAATTTAGGCCCAGCAACATCAGTGCCTGTTTCCATTTCATGCTGAGAACAACAGAAGGAGTGTCAATGGCAGACCCCTGGAAAAAGTATGGGGGCCAGATTGTCCTTGCAGGAAGAAGATGCTCTTTCCTCCAGCAGCACCTTCTAGTTACTTCTAATGTTTTAAAAGAACCTTGCCACTGATCTTGTTTACAGAAGCTTGTGAAGCTGCCAAATCATGCCAAAAGATGGGGAATGTGGGGCCAGAGCAGGAGCCAGTGACATACAGACAGCAGCAACCTGTAGTTTCTGATCCCAGCCTGGTAGCACACTGAGCACCGAGCTCCCCTGCACGGCTAATGTAAGCACGCCAGGCTCCTTGAGATTTATCTACATTAAGTGCTTTCCCTAGAGAAGGACGACAAGAGGATTTACGTCGAGTAAGGCAACTGCAGCACACGCACAAGTCCCGGAGGGGAACCATTCCCATCACTAAATTGGGAAAAATCAGGTGCAATGCCCTACAAATAGACTGAATGAGCTTGTGTAACTAACGTGAAATGCTGAAGGCAATGTCCCAGCAGTCAGCTGTTACAGTGCCAATTATTTTAGTGAATTTAAGTAACAGAAAACTACCCTGTCTTTTGCTTTTCAGGAGAAATAAACACCAATATATGCAAAGGGTTACATCATTTCTCAATTCCCGCTCTCCCATCCTTGCCTTCTACATTGCAGTGAACTTCTCACAAACTGCAGTGGAAGCAGCTCACAGTAAACAGCAAAATACTGCTGTTGTTCACCTTTCAAGCTCTGATTCAAGCTCCACCAGCTCTCAGATCCATGGGTAGCAGAAATTAAAGGCTATATTAGAGCATCAAAGCAACAGAAAAGGACTAGAGAACAAGCTTCCAAAAACAAGCATAGGATTTGGTACCATTCAGTACAGCTCTACTTCTTGAACCCTTTGTAGGACTGCAGGAATTCACAGAGTATGTCACAGCTGCAAGAGTAAACTCTCACCTTACAAACCTAAGAATTAGCATTTGAAAAGTCCTCCTTCATATTTTCTGTTTGCCAGCATAATCCTGTGGATGCGCCCTTTTACAACACCTTATTCCTCAACCCCCCTGTGTGCCTGCAGCACGTGCTGTGTTCACACAGTGACAATCCCATTAGCCTTAACCAAAGTGTCATCAATTTGCTGCAAAATTCGGGCTGTGCACTGCAAACAGATCAGGCAGGCCTCCTCCCCAGGGAATGCACGTATTGCATATTGCCAGCTATATATCTCACTTTGCACCT